TCCCATACTAACATAAAATACTAATGAAATATATTGTTTCTGTTTTGAGGATTGCTTTCAAAGAAGACTCCTGCATGGTGCCAAGTATCACTGCAACAGTCATTCCTAGGGGTGTTCAAGACAGACAGGAGTGTGAGGAAGCTCCTCGTGGGCTGTTTGTGTTCTGTTTCTCCATTGGGATGCTGCCTCTATGAACATCTTTAATTGGCAAAGATGCATTACCCTATAAACCTAAGATCTGTGTAATTTCCTATGCAGATATTACACTAATATAAAAACATTTTTCTCATTCATAAAATACTTTTATCTTTACTTAAGTAAACATCCATAGTAGATAGCATTACGTTTCTTGGAGCTGGTCAGCAGCATTTGCCCCTATGTTTTGATTCCCTGCTTTGCACTCCTTCATTTTGTGTTTTTAGTATTTTTGGTATTTATGATATCTACAGTTTTAAAATCATGGAAAAGTATCTTGACATTTGCAGCAACAGATGTGTTCATGAGTTGACCTTTGGTAAATTATCCCTGAATATCATGTTGACCCCTATGTATTTTCAGGTTAAAATACCCATACAAGCCTGTAAAATCTGTAGTCATTTAAATATCTTTGCAAATGCATTTCTGTTCACTCCTCAGTTTTTACTTTGAGTTACTGTCCATTGTGTTTATACTTTTTAACCAATTGGCCTGAGTTTCATTTTGACCGTTGGTTATAGTTTATGGTGACATGTTTCCTTATTTTTTCTTTATCAATATTTATTTATGTAAGGCCAGAGCGCGAGCGAGCGAGACAGAGACAGAGAGACAGAAAATTTTCCATGTACTGCTTCACTCTCCAGATGGCTGCAGTGGCCAGCAGTGGACCAGCAGCTTTATCCAGGTTTCCCATGTGGGTATTAGGGGCTCTTGCAATTTGGCTGTCTTCCACTGATTTTCCCAAGCAAATAGCAGAGAGTTCTGAATTGTAACAATTGAGACATGAGCTGGTACCTGTATGGGATATCTTCATTGCAGGTAGAGACTATACCCATTGTGTTAAAATGTTGGCCCTTTCCTTACTTGATACTGACAAGGATGTGGAAGGATTACTGCATCATTTTATGGTCATTTTATCATGTTATGCTCTGATACAACACATATATATCTTAATATGCAGACAAGATATAGAAACGCATAAAAGTACTGAGTAATATCAAACAGTCACTAAGTTTACTAGAAAACAAAATATTAGTCATGAAAGGATTTGGAGACAGGGGGCCACGAGGCCATATAGCTCACAGAGGACTTGGTTTTTTTTGCATGTGTTATAACATAAATTTTATGCAATTGAAAAGTAAGCCTTGGAGATAAAATTTCAAAGAAATATTGCTATTTGAATGATATAAAACATTACCTGCAACAAAAATACCTTAGTAGATATGGAATATGGAAAGGGAGGAAAATAAAAAGAATAATTTAAGATAGCCAGGGAAAAAAAAAGAAGCTAAAGATTAACAAAAGATAAAAAAGAAGCTGGAAACTCTGTTCCCCTTGTGCCATCCATTTTACTGGTCTTTGGAATTGTATGTGCAATGGCAAGTTTCCTCTTGAACTTCCATTTTAAAAGAATGTCAAACTAACAGAGAAGAAAGGGCCTTGTAAGTGAGCCATCTACTTTCCAATAGAGTCAATGACAGGCTGTACTTTTCATCCCTACTTAGAATTTCACCAACAAAAGTATGAAGACTAATATAAAAATAAAACATGAAATTGTTCTTTTTTTTTTTTACTGAGTGCAAGCTGTTTGTCAGTCTGCATTAACAGTTATATTGTTCAATTTAAACCTCATTGCAGTGCTGTGAAATGATATTTCAATCCTCATTTGACTAATGAATAAGTTATGCTTTAGAAAGGTTAATTCACTTTCTCAAGCTAGGACAGCTAGTGGATAGGTACCTTGAGTTCAAAAATTTTTGCCTCTGAACGTTTGCCTCTGAAACCTGTTTAACCTTTGCTACACCATATCTGATATTATGTACATCATATCTGTAATCATATCATATACATGCTTCATACATGAGTCTTCCTTGAAAGGAATCTTCAAAACAGCAAAAGTAGAATTCATTAGTATTTCCTGTTAGTATAGGAATGAGAAAGACATTAGATTTGCACAGAAACTGGGAAAGAAAAAGGAAAAATAAAACCAACCCAGAGCAATGAGCTGTTTTGCTTATCTTGGATATTCATACTCCAGAGGGGATATAACTGGGCACTTGAAGGCTCCTAAATTTATAGGATAAATATTGAACATTTCATTGAGAACAATTTTAAAGCACAGGAAAGCAAAATTCACTCAAAAGCACTTAGAATTATCTTTACACTGAAGGAAAAATACATTAAGAAATCAAGGCAAATATTTCCATGAATTTGTAGCATGAAAGATTTGATTTCATAGAAATCTGTGTAATTTGCACTGGCAGACTCTAGATATTCATTCCACTGTATTAGCTGGGAGCATGCTCTGGTGGAATGTTTTAAGAAGCACTTTATTGGAGAATATGGTAGCCGTAGCAAGTTGGAGTTGAATTTTACTGATGAGACTTTAACATATCACTCATTGTATGAGTTTTCAAATTTATGTGTAAAGCAAAGGGAAAAAACCCTGTTTTTCTCTATCATCTTGTTGCCTTTTTTCACTTACCCCAAAGAGGTGTACCTATGGGTCATTGGCTGCCCTTCAATCCTAAAACTCCTGCCCATTTGGTTGACTTCAGATTTAAAGAGAGGATTATAAAAGAGCCTTATCTTTGTGCATGAGTGTGGACCAAAAACAAGATCCTTTCTGCCTTGTTAACCTTTGTCTAGACTCCTTCTAGAGGCTAAGAACCATTCTGTCTTAAAGCCTGGGAGATCTTTAAGCCTTTGGAGCTCATGTTGAGGTTTGTAACTGGAGAATTATACTCTTTTCTTGTTGATTAGACATCCTGCCACCCACCTACCTCCTGTTTTGACATGTTATTTACGTGTATCTGTATATATACACATATATGTACAAATATGTGTATATATATTTGTAAAGAGCAGATATGTCTGTCAGCTAACTTTATTTCTATTTTCTTCAAAAATTGACACATTGTAGTCTATCAGATTCTTTTTATCTGATAAGTTGAGACAACATTTTTCAAATGCACCTGTAAGCTTTCACTCCCGGGAAGAAAGCCCATACTCAAAGCATTGTATACCTCCATTCAGTTTGCAAATGCATTCATACTGTTCCCCTCAAAATGCTATGCAATTTGGGATTAGAAATGAGGTTCTTGACAGCATTACCAGAAAGTATGCCTTCATTTGCTGTGCTTATTACTAGAAAGCTTTCCTTGAAGTTTCATACAAATGATGTTATTTACTCATACATTATTCACATATGTGTAAAACCTCTGACAAAATTCCAATAAGTCAGTATTTTGCATTTTTTTTTCTTCTTCCTGAAGTTTTAAAACAGATCGACTTTGGTAGACTTTCAAGAAAATAGTTTGTTTTGAACTTGGACAAACTGTGTATGTGACTGCATCCCCAGAAGTGGACATATGGGATCTGGTGGGCTTTGTGTGATGCACCCAGGCAGAGGCAAGGCTTGTCTTTATTGCCCCTGCCTGGCTGCAGAGTGTGAATAAACTGGGCAGTATCTTTCTGTCTCAAAATCAGGGCTTATTTTGATTATGGTAGTATTCAACATCTGTATGAGATCCAAAGAGTACATGAGAATCATTCCATCAACCAAAGGCCAGTGATAGATCCAACGTCTGCCATTTTGGAGAAAGTGTTTTCTGATTCCCAGACGATGGAAATTCTCATAGTCATGTCACCTAATTGTCTCTTACTGCTTCAATATGACATTACTTTTCATAAATAGATGTTCTCTCTCATGGAATTTAGGGTTCCTTCTGAACTATGTTTGCTTAAATACCTAACTCAACTTTAGTGGTGTTCCATATATATCTGTAACTCATCAATTACAGCTTTCTAACTTGGTTGGTGAATGCTGGAAATGATATCATATGAAGCCAATAGACTTTTAACACCAAAACCAGAATATGCATGAACATATGACAGAGGAAATAAAATATTTGAAAAATATGCACACAGGATAAACTGGTCACGGAAGCAACATGATCAAATTGAGATAACCAGGGCCCCGGGAGTTCAACAGAGCGAACACAAAAACTTAGTTTTAATTCTGGTAGTTTAGAGACAAGTTATTGTGTATATTCATCCTATTTCCTATCTGCAGGATGAGTATGTTAATGTCAGCTTTATAGAAATGTTACAGGTTTTAAAAGTCTACTCATTTAGAGAACAGTCTTTCTTGAATAGTTCCTCCAAAAATGGTAGATATAGTAAGTGACTGTTATTATTATTCTAGTGAATGAACTGAGGAGAATAGGTGAAAAGTAATCATATACTTAATTTAATTTCTATTTAAATCAGAGCCTCCTAAAATTTGAGTTGCCCAATTTGAGAATGGGGCATCCTGAAACACGATGTACACTATATTTGCATAAATAACTTGGTTTTGTGCAATTAGCATGTTGAACCTTTGTCTGTATTTAATGCTTCGAAGTACACAAGGCAGTCACATTTTACTTACCCTACCAGGACAAATTATATGTGATCTTTGTTCCATTGTATGTTCATTTCTCCCTTACCACAAATTGCCTGATGATTTAAATGTTTCTTTTTTCTCTGCTTCATAAAAAATAGTGTTCATTAAGCTGGATTAAGTAGATGATTTAAACTATAAAACTCCGACTCTTGCTATTTATAAATAATTCAAATAGATTTGACCCTAATGATTATATGCTTTATTTTGCTTAACTGGAAGTTTTTTTCACCCATCTTCCATGGCATATTAGTAATTAGATATATTAAATATTCTAACATGTAGCTTTACATTTCAAAAGGCTGATCCAGGGAGATGGAATGTTTGATGTTTGCTTACCTGGCTGTATTTTGTGTTTCAGTTTGGGAAGCAGCACATAGAGAACCTCTTCAGTGACCTGCAGGATGGAAGACGCATCCTAGACCTCCTCGAAGGCCTGACAGGGCAAAAACTGGTAAGTCTTTTTAAGGATACCCTGAACCTTGCAGCAAGTTCAGATTAGAAGCAACCAGTCATTTTTTAATGTGATATAGTGAAATTTACAAATTTCCAGCAATATAAGGCTTATCGCTGCATTAAAAATATCTTATGTTTTCATTTTGGGGTATTCTGTCATGCAGAGCAGCTGCTAATTTTTTTGGTATAATATAATTTTCATCCATGGATTCATATCATTTTTACTGCTGGGTATTTTTGTTATTAAATGCCTTAATAGATTTTCTGTCATTGTCTATACCTGCAATTGCATGCTGTACTTAAGCAGCAGTATGTTAAACTTGTAACTGCCACTAAAGGACTATACTGCTGTAGTAACACAGGGGAAAATGTGGGAGGGGAAATGGGAAAAGAGAAAGGGGAGGACAGGGAGGAATTGCTACACCTATAAAACTGTAACATGGAAAATAATAAAGATAATTTTAAAATGCCCTTATAAAAGATTCTGTACATAATGACTTTCACACTTATCTTTGTACTTGTGTGCGTTTTCTATTATTTTATAGCATAGCATTATTATTTCATAGATAATGTGAGGCATTGTTCAATATACAACAGCATGTGTCATGTGGATGTAACTTCTTTCAGAATTATTATCTTGCGTAACTTCAGAGCAAGCATTTCTGTGAGACAGATACGATTATGATCCACTCTAGGTCAAGGAAGTAATGAGTGACTGATATGACTTGGTTGATCAAGGTTTCATAACTTCTAGGAACCAAATCTCCTGACTAGAATAATCTTAGATGGAGTTTAAGCCCCCATTTACAAACAAAGTCATTCTGTATATCAAATGAGTTCCAGTAAATTGTTGTTTTAATGTCTTCTCTTTGCCACTCACTAGAGTTCCTCAACACCACACACACACACACACACACACACACACACACACACACACACACACACACACACACTGTAAATAATATACAAATTTTGGCTGTAAACATCATTCAAAGTCCAAGCTGCCAAATGTGTCTCCACAACGTGTCTCCTACACCTCTGCTACACTAATGGTGTTGGTCTCTGTATGCCCTGCCATAAACGCTCGGGGTGTAGCCTGTGCTGTTTTCATTACTAGCATTCGTGTTTGTACTCCTTTCCTTAGTAAACTTCCACAAATTTTTGCTTTTCCTTAGTCAAGTCTTTCCCAATTGATGTCGTCAATTTCTCCTGTTTCGTGAATTCCATAGAATACGTATTTTCTTTATTGCTCCCTTGTGTTTGGTTTATGCATAAATAACTATGACATCCCTCCTTAAAAATTGAACTCCTATAGGAAAGGGATATAGCTTACGATTTCATATCTTAATCCTTTTTAAAATGCAACGTGGGATCAATATGTTATTAATTTAGTTTATTGTACATTTTCAAGAATCCTGAATTACGCATTATGTAGGAACAACTGATGACTTACTTTAAATAATTTTAAACTTGTAGTCACTTGACTAAAATGATTATCATTTTGTAATTGAACTTATGCTTTAAGCCGGTTTGAATGCATTTGTGAATATATAGTCTTAATTTCACTAATTAGAGGTCTACCTATGCAAAGTCATCCTTGTATATCACATATGTCCATAGGTACAGAGATCAATATATGTCTATGTGTCCCTAATTTCTCCTGTATTGTCTTGGCTTTCAGTGAGCAATATGGAAGTCCCAATGTTTTCCAAGTGTTTATTAAAATTCTTTCAGAGGTCATGTATTCCATGGTGTCCTGTACCTGTAGGCAGGACTTTCATCTTCTTGGCTCTGGAGATCTGCACAATGGCTTCTGTGGTACAGATACTGCCTCTGGTCATTCCATGAACTGAGGCAATCTTCCAATGACCCAATTAAATTTATGAGTGTTACCAAATTTCATCCTGATACAATGATAAGCTTCAGTAAAACATTATGAACGACCTTACATATTCATCAATATAAACAGAGAGATGCACACATACATGCATGATGCACACATAAAATGAACCTTAAAAATGGCAGGCACTTTGAAAATGATGTATAAAATATCCATTGAAGTAGCCATTATGGCGTAAGTTGCTGGTGCAAGGAAAAACTACCAAGCTTTCACATAAGCCAAAACACACTATATTATTTCAGATGTTGCTGTCAACAGAACCTGTGATCCAGTCTTCATTCTGGTCACAGAACTGTAAACCTTGGAGTGAGGACTTTACCTTTTCTACACAGCAAAATCATCTCTTTCATGAGTTCCTCCCATTTCAGAACTCCCACTCCCCGTTCCTGGTATTGAATCCTCATTGTTTCTGTAGTTATGGCCTCTCCCCCTGGTGGGAGTTGAATTTACTGTTGAATATCAGCAATCTTATTACCTTACTTGGAAGCATCTGCATTCGGATTATTGGCTCAGCTTGTCCACAGGGTTAAATGGAGGTATTTGCCTTAAGAACTATAAAATTTAAATTGCTCCCCAATGAGACTCTAGTGGGGGAGATTTCAGTTTCCACTTTAGGAACAGAGACTGTAATATTTTATAACAGTAACATTTCTATGGTCTTATTAAATATGTATATATATATACACACACACACACACAATTATATGTTTGGAAAAGAAAAGGAAAATGTTACTAAATTTGCCATGGAAATTTTCTGCATCTGGCTCAAAGGTAATATGAGACTTTTGTCTAAATATTGAGTAGATGGTTGGATTAAATATGTAAGTCCTATAATACCCATTAGATTTCTATGCTGTGAATCTGTGTATTCACAACAATGTTTTGATCATGTTGTTATTTTTCCGTTAATCTAAACTCTTATCTTTCTAGGCATTATTTTCTTTCTCTTTCTGTTGGAAAGTAGGAAATGCACTGAAATATAAGTTTGTATTACTGTAATATTCTATGATGGAAATTTCTAGGTAACAAAATGGAGAGTCTTATTTATAAAGTTACCCTTAAATTTGCAGAAAATCAATAGAACAGGATGATAATACTGTCTAATAAAGAATATCAAGCAAGTTATCTTGGAGAGTAGGATGCTTGAGCTTCATTTTGGAAGTTTAGCATAATGTGTTCCAGGATGAGGAACTGCTTAAGAAGGACAGGAGCTGTACTAGAAAATAGAGTGCAAAACTCAAGAAGTAGAAACAAGTATGAGGAAATGAACAAATTTGCCCAATTCACATAGTACGAAAAGTGACACCTGAAAGGCAAACCCAGGCTGTCAGTATTTGTATTTCATACCGTCCACTAAACCATAGTCCCGTTAGGAATGAGCTAAGAGCCATGCAAGCAGTTTGCATTGGTGTTGGGTCTGCTTCCGGAATGTCACTATTAAAGACATGTAGTATAGATGAATGGATGACAAAGGACTGAGGAAGGAGGGGAAGGAACTTATGAAGCTTATGATATATTCTAGGCAAAAGTTAATGAGGACTTGTATTTAAGCTAAAACAAATGAGAGGGGGGACCAAATAAAACAATAGGAATTTTAATGATAAGTTTCCAAAAGCCCCAATTGAATATATGAATTAAGTTCTTATCTTAATAAACTAAACAGATGTTAATTTAAAAATTGCAGGATGAACCATCATTTTTGGGGTTGAGAATGAATGAGTTAGGGAACCAAATATTTTGATATTCAGCTTCAGTGCCTGGGATAATTAAGGTCATATTCACAGAAAAATTTTCTTTAACCACATTTTACAAATGTAAGTGCTAGGCTCACTGTTCCTTCAAACTTTCCTAAAAGTGAGCACCTTCACTGTAACATCCATCTTGCTAGCAAATGTCCTCATGCATTCTTATGTTTCTGTTGTTGGTGATCATGAAGAAATCCTTGGAAGGAAGGAGTATTCAATTCAAAATAATATTTGTGAAGAAAAAAAGTGTTTTCTTGGAGTGTGTTTTATTCATACTGAAAAAAAGAAAAGGCACAAAAAGTCCAAAAGCATTATGCCAAGGATAATTATCCAAAAACACTTGAATATATTCAATTGAAGTCTCCCAACCTGTGCTCATTCAAATTATTCAAACTTACAAGTGAAATTTATAAATGGTTTTATTTCTAGGAGACTGTTGATTTCTCTGCTGTGCAGTGAACACTATTTCATTTTGTTTTCAGCCAAAAGAAAAAGGATCCACACGGGTTCATGCCCTGAACAATGTCAACAAGGCTCTGCGGGTCTTGCAGAAAAATAATGTAAGTGCTGACCTAGACAGGGTCTGGGTGTCATGTGACAGCATGCTGAATGTTGACGTGAGGGCCAGTTCCCCAAATGCAGAGAGTGTTTTAACTTCTGATGGCAATCAAATCAATTCTGAACTAGACCATGTGTTGTAGTTCTTTTGTGTCTGTTTGTGGTTAATGTGATTCATGATTCAGAAAGCAAACTAGGTTTTTTTGGGGGGGAAAGATTTTATTTATTTTTATTGCAAAGGCAGATGTAAAGAGAGGAGGAGAGACAGAGAGGAAACTCTTTTGTCCAATGGTTCAGTCCTCAAGTGACCACAATGGCTGGAGCTATGCTGATCTGAAGCGAGGAGCCAGGAGCTCCTCTGGGTCTCGTATACTGGTTCAGGGTCCCAAGGCTTTGGGCCATTCTCAACTGCAAACTAGTTTTTTTTTTAAAGATTTATTTTATTTATTTGAAAGAGAAGAGGGGGAGGGAGAGAGAGAGAGGGAGAGAGAGAAAGAGAAAGGAGACTGAGCTCTCACATCTGCTGGTTCATTACCCAAATGGCCAGTAAGTTCAAGACTGTGCTAGGCAAAAGCTAGCAGCTTCTTCCAGGTCTCCAATATTTGTGGCAGGGGCCCAAGGACTCAAGCCACATTCGGTTGCTTTTGCAGACACATTATGGAAGTGGAACCTAGACTTGGAATGACATCCCTGTGAGATGTTCACACTGCACGTGGTGGGAACTTGGTGCACCACAGCAACATTCCCAGAAAGGGAATTCTTAAACCCACAGAGGGCAAGCAAGGGAGTGTCCCACACCTCAATAGGCTGATTCTGTATTTTCAGATTTGACCTGAAGCTGATATATTTCATGCAGAAAATGAGTCCTACAGTAAAGAATAAACTCAGTTGCTTACAGAGGTGTTTGTGGCTAGTGAATGTTACTACACAGAATATTGTTTTTTGTGTACTAAGTATGTTCAAACATTATCATAATCAAATTACAGTCAAGTTGACACTTAGTTTCACCTCAAATATAAATTACATATAGAAATACCTTAAAAGCATATATATCATATATATGCTTATTATATATTATATATATGCTTATTTTATATATATATATATTTTTTAATATATATATATATATATATATATATATCCTCACCTTGCACGTGCCAGGATCCTGTATGTGCACTGGTTCAATTCCTGCAGCCCCTGTTCCCATCAAGCTCCCTGCTTGTGGCCTGGGAAAGCAGTCAAGAATGGCCCAAAGTCTTGGCACTCTACACCCACATGGAAGACCTGGAGGAAGTTCCTGGCTGCTGGTATCAGATCGCCACAGCACTGGTCATTGCGGTCATTTGGGGAGTGAATCATTGGACGGAAGATCTTTCTCTGTTGCTCCTCCTGTCTGTATATCTGACTTTGCAATAAAGATAAAAAAAATCATAAAAAGCAATATATAGTTATCTGACTATATATAGTTATTTGACTACATATAGCCAAATATATATATGTAATATATAATATATATGCATTGATAAATAGTTATTTGACTTAAAACATATCTATCTATCTATCTACCTATAGATATAGATATACAGTTATTTGAGAAGCAGAGTTAGGTAAAGAGATTATTTTCCATCCTTGGGTTCATTCCGCAAATGGCCATAATGGCCAGGATGAGCCAGGCTTAAGCCAGGATCCCAGAATTCCATTTGGGCCTCCCATGTGGATGCAGCAACCCAAGGACTTCGGCCGTTTTCTTGTGCTTTTCCAGGCACCTTAACAAGATGCTGGATCAGAAGTGGAGCAGCTGGGATTTAACCAGCACTTGTTTGGTACACCAGCAGTTTAACCTGTCATGACACAAGGCCAGCCCCCTAAAAATAATTCTAACTCAAGGTGTAAATGTCTAGTCTGTTCTCTGTACTTAGGTTTGGTGTGCATTAACTGGGTGAAATATGTTATCTACGAAACAGTAAACAATGATAGCTACACAAATGGACAGTCTAGCAGAGCTGTGGTCTCCTTAGAGCAACTTTGATATTCCTTCTCTCACGGCTTGGAGACAGGAGGTCCTCCGTTATTAAGTTCCTGCGTTCTTTACAGTCAGCCAACACATCTAACAGGCACTATTAATAGCTTCCTGGTTGCATTATGTTTTTCAAGGATAAATTCAAATATGACATCCTCTTAAAATAACTGTAAGCAGTGAAAGATTGGTAATATCGTACACTCTTTCAAATAACGCTCAGCTTCTCTGGCAGAGAGGATACTGGCAGGATCTCTAGGACATGGAAGAGGAGACCACAGTCATCAGTTGGTTTTAGAAATTTAGGGCTATCATCATGTGAGAATATATGTTTTTTTATTCATGCAGGGGAGTGATTTTATTTTGGAAGAATAAGGCAGGAAATTACATAAGAGTATCTTCTAACACTCTTGCAATGTTTTCTGTTTGACCTGCTGATTTCTAGATACGTGTGTTTACGTTGAAAAAAATCACCAAGTTGAACACTTTACTGATACTTTTGTATATGCATGTTGTTGTGCTTTGGGTTTTCTTTTTTAAGGTTAAAAAGAGGGACCTCAGAGGAAAAAGTAAACCTAAACTTAAAATGTCTACAACTCCAAACAGTGGGAACTCTTTTCCCAATTTGTCTCTTTGTGTCTCAAATGAATAATAAAAATATAGACAGAAATAAATAGATTGTATTCTCCTCCATTAATTCATACTGAAAGGAAGCACAACCAATGGAAAATACACCAACATGCAACTTTATTTGTCTCTGATTATTATCAAAAGAAACACAATTTAATTAGAGAATATCTAAAAGCAAAAACTTGTCTTGAGAATGGGTTTGAATGGTCTATATTAGATGAATAAATTAGCCTGGAAAAGGATCAGTATATTAAGCAAAACAGTAGATAGGGACATTATTACATTTTCTTTCAAAGTTATGAATTCTCCAATTACAATAAGCCTCAGGAGTCTTTGATGGTTTGAAATAATCATAACTTAAAAGAGAGTAATGATGGTATATTTACATACAACACATTGGTGCATTCTGTGTGTCAGATTTTATTTTCGGTGATAAGGTTGGTGTAGTCAGAGATGAAACAGCCTGTTGTATCATGAAGTTTATAGCTGAAGGGTGTTGGAAGTTAAACAGATGCACCGTCTATAGTGATAGGTGAATAAATAATGAGGGAACAGGGGGAATATGGAGTGTGGAAAGACTCTTTGTTTAAGTTGTTATGGGAGAATAGACATGAGGGGATAGCCAGGGGATTATCTGAAGGAAGATGTTCCTAAGTGATAAAATGCTGTCACAAAAAGAAAAGAATTTGGAATAACCTCTCAATATGTGAACTTATCTTACTACAATAGCAGAGTCCTAGCATCGTGGGAGAGGGATGGAAAGGGTGGTGAGTGACTGGCAAGTTTTGGGTTCTGCTCTGTTTGAGTTGACAGTGACTGAAATTCAAAATGCTATTAAATATATAATGGATAATGAAATAGTGATATAACAGTTATATCAAAGGAAAAAGGTGATGAAATGGTATTTTCAAAGAGTACTATTTTTAGCTGAGAAAGTAATGATCAATACTGAAAACCTAACATGGCTTTACATTAAAGATACTAAGAAAGCCACAAATTATTTTTATTTAGAGCCTTTAATTTACCTCTCTCAGACTATAATACACTTAGCACTTACCTCTCAGCCTATCATGCTCTTAGCAGTTGAAAAGACTGAGTACTAACAGCATGAACAGTAGTTTTAGTAGTGATCTTCTTTCCCTTGATGCCACCCCCCCACCCCCGCAAAGCATGGTATTAAATGCTAGAAATGTGTACATTTTGCAAATATAATACATAAAGTTAAGTTTGCAAGACAAGAAGTAGTTTAATAGTTTTGTTTAAATTAACCAACTTCAAATCGGAGCAGGTGCCAGGCTTAGAAAATTCAGGCTGTGTTAGGACTGCTCTCGCCTCTTCCTGTGGAACTGCCAGATATCAGTAGATGCATATGTGGCCTTTCATAGGCAGGAAAAAGCCTTTCATCTTTAGTCCATTGAGGCATCCACTGACAGAGTTACCGTGCACTTCCAATTCTCCTTGTGGAGCCAGGTGTATTATTAACTGCCCTGGTGTAAAACACGTGGCATATAGGAAAACAAAATTGAAGAGCGCGTAATCAGGGGATCTATACAGAAATGCAGGCAGGATTAAAGAACCTCACTGTGCGAAGTGTTATACAACCAGCACAACTTCTTAACCTTTACTTTCTCTAAAACTAAAGAGATAAAGAGAGAGACTTGCTAACCTGCTAAAAGCTCTCTCCTGGCTAGAGGGGATGGAGGCAGTGTACAAGTGCAGTGATACTCAAATCATGACTCAGTGGAAAAATGAGAAGATGCATGGCTTAGCCTCTTGGTTCAACACTCTACTACCAATGTGCTTATGCTATTCATTGATTGAATCCAGCTAGAAGCCAGATCGAAAGAGCTCCAGATAACGAATGATGTCATCTCATTCAAAGAAAAGGTAGAAAAGCTAGGTAAGTAGGGGTGTGTTGAACAGAGTAACAGGTGCATCAGCTGTTTTGTTTTCTCTGAGGCCAGTGGAGATTTGATGACTTAAAGTTTTCTGTATACCTACATTTCTGAAGTGTTGGAGCACTGCCCTGCCGAGTGTGCCAGGAAGGCACTCACTAACGAGGCCGTGTCACTTACTCCATGTGCGGATGGAGCGGAGAGGTGTTTTCTGGTGAATTTTGTGACAGGGTGGTAGTTTGCTTCCTCCTGTGCTTCTGGGGGAAGCCACATTCAGACAACAGGATGAATCATTTCAGATTTTTTCTCTTCTACACAAACTTACTAAATGCCTGGGAGAATAGCAATATATTTTAGAAAGTTCCTTCTATAATGTAAAAATTAAAAATGGATAATATATTAAAACGCTGCAAAAATATCATTAAGTACACAGAAGTACTTTAAAATGCACAGTTTTTGA